AAAACAGATGGAATTTATTTCACATGATGACATTTTTCCAGTAATTTCTTAATGTACTTGAGTATATTTTCTATGGAAAATGGATAGCTGTTTAAATATTTCTCAATAGGGCTTCACAGATCATTCTACAAGATCCTGAGGCGATTTTGGGTAGCATTGTAATGCGCAGTGTGAATTTAAAAGCCGTACCAACTGATGTTTTACACATCAGGATCAGATACTTTAGATGATATTTCTCTTCGAGAATCGTGTTGTTTATCAAAACCATAGTATTATGGAGAGCATCATAGGTCTGAGAAACTACTTTGAGTACCACGTTTCCTACCCAAGGGACTACATAACGCGGTCACTCTATAACTAGAATTTTAGCCATTGGTCGTAGCTGAATAACGATATAATTCTATATACCCGTGAAACATCGAAAAGTACCCATTTTCTGTGTTACCTAGCAGTGCTATTCAACTTATTTATACTTTAATCCTTTCAACTCATTTTTCGACGATAAACACATCAACTGTAGATATATGAACATTACACATTTCAAGTTATACGGATGCATTTTTGCTGAGATATAACTATCAGAGACGATCGTAGAATATATGACTTTTGTGAACAGCCGCCTGAGTAACATTAAAATACCAGAAGAATAAAGCAATACTTTTTCGAATGGTTTGAATCCAAATCATCAAAATTCTTCACGGTATAGCATACTTTAAAGTGAACTATGTCTAACAATTTCGATTGAAAACAACCTCACTAGAGGCTTCTGTGATCTGACTCATATATCAATTCAATCATTCAGTCAAATGTTTTGTAAAGTTTGAGCGATAGTTTAACAGCTAAAATCATTTGGGTCCAACTAATTAAAATTGTTGTTTTTTTTTCTTAAATCTATTATACCTCATAAAAGAATGTGTTCAGTGTTAAAATAGGTGGAAAAACAGTTTAAAATTCTTTTCCATCGAATAAAACTCTTTATCAGTACTAACCGCCGTATGCACATCATATTTATCTTATATAGTTTTCATTTTCTCTACTATATCAATTTGTATCATTAGCATTTCGCAATGTATGGTGCGTATCCTACGTATCGAAAATGTATCCCTTGGATTCCCACCATATCCTCTGGATCCTTGGGATTCCCATCGGATCCGGGATCTACCGAATCCGCTTTTCCCCCCTTGTGTTGTACTCATGTTTCCATTTTCGGATGGTACTACACAAACGTTTGTATTCATCTGCAATATTTGTGTTTTATCCACTTGTTGTAACCATGTGTATGCGCACCTAATTTTAAATCATCTTTATACGTAATATGTAATTGAATTGGTTTTCCTTCGCTATTTTTTGACCAATCGGTTAGCATTCGTTCGACTTTTTTTAAAAATGCAGATAATAGAAGATGATTTCTTAATATGTAATCTTTTTTAATTCTACCATTAAGTGATTCTAGTCCATTATTTGTTGATGGTGCTAAACAAGCTATTCCTTCATACCAATCCGGTAACGATGATATCCATTTTTATTCAAAATATTGTCGAAAACCATTTAATTCAGTATCTGCCGATCATTTTAATAACATAAGACGTGATGTTATTACAAATATTTAATCGTAAAATACTAATTGCGTACTAAAAATATCTTGTTCGACTAATAGCTATTATTTTTATCTTTAATTAGTTTTGCATGTTCGCGAAATTTACGAATCATATGAAACCAGCACATTAAACGTCTTGCTAACTGAATTTCAGACATGGCACTTGTTAAACCTACACAAATGAAGACCAAAGATAACTGTATTGCAAAATGATTTTTTGTACACAGCTTTGTTACTTACAAGGTGCTTCATCAGCCGTAACATGTGAGATTATATAGGTTTGATTATTAACTGCTGATGCCCATTGTTGAATACCATGAGATAATGTACGAAATATATCCGCTGATTGGTCTGTTGATATTAAACAAATACCCATTGGATAAAATCGATGGTTATAATCAGATGTTCCAAATACTAATAATGGTAGTTCATTTATTGTTGTTTTGTAAGTGTAGTCAATAGCCAGTACTGATGAATATTAGCCGACAGATAATAACTGACGTGCTGTTAAACATATAAATAAATCACTCACATTATTAGCAACATAATAAGGTATTAATATGTCGTATATATATGAAAGTGCAGTAATAATGAAACTTCTTTTATTTCTTTTATTTCAAAAAGTAGAATTTTCGACCATTGACTGTTAGTAACAAGCTGGAATATGCGGTCATCATCAGTACTATTCCAATCTATTTATT